TTGAATTTTTTTAAAAAAATACGAGTTAGACGTCTTTTTAAAACTCATGTTTAATGTATTTTTAACTATTTTCGATATCTGTTTGGAATATTCGATATACTCATAAGTCAGTTCTCAAAATAAGTTTTGAGATGAAATAAGCAATTTGTAGATTCGATTAGCGTACGATTATCGGAGAATTTTTAAAATTAGCATGTTATCGAAATTCAAATTTATTGTGATTTTGCCCCTATTTGGTGGAGATTTTTTAATAAATTTTGATAAAAGTTAAACAATTATGGATTACATGAAATACGTTATTAAAATTAATTGTTAACTTTGTTTTAAATTAAAATATAGATTTCAATCAATACCAAACACGATTTTATATATTAACAAAAAAAAAAATTCAAAAGTTGGGGAGAGTGGGGCATTCCCGCCCCCCCCACCCCACCAGCCCAGGACTCCCTAGGTCCGCCCATGATCACATTAAATATTAAGTTGGTATTCATTCGATAAATTTTTGAGCTCTAATCTGCATCTTTTGAATCTTAAATTATTGCTTTAAAATTTATTGATTTGAGTCATAAAATATTTGAAGGTGGAATATTACAAAGTAAAATAAAATGTTTGAAAAATTATGAATTACTTTTGGAGAAGAGGTGGGTAGTGTAAAGCACCAAAGCAACTTTATAATGGGAAAAGATGTATGCATAGTATTGGTGGGTTTGTTTGGTATTGTGACATCATACTTTAAATAATTGTAAATTTGAATTGATTGATCATTAACACACATAAGAAATGCACAAAAAAGTGCATTATGTCTATGTTACATTTTTCTAACTTACGAAAAAGAATTTAATCTTTGATCAATTGTTAACATCGTTTGCTATTGCTTTTTTCTTCCTTTTCAGATTTTTTCTTGAAAAGAAGTGATTGAAAGCGTTTAATAAAATGTGGTGCATAAACTCTCTGAGAGATATTTGAATCGCAATACATTTGTTTAAAGGAGTTGTGATCAAATTTGAAGATTGTTTATAAAAAATACAGATAACTGCAAATAATCTTGATTGTGCTATAAAATTGGCTACTAAGTTAGATTTCTATGAAATGAAAAAGAGAAGAAACCCTCTATCCATAGAGAAGAGGGGTTCCAAAATGGGGCATAAAGTGAGAGAGAGGAATAACATGAGTCATGGATGGACTATGAGGGTGTTTTCTGAACTACAAAATATTGAACTTTTGAATCACATAATGGGGCTACTGCTAAAAGGGGGAAAGAAGTTAAGAGGCTTCACACACCATTGGTGGGGTGTGGTTATATTATTATTATTATTATTATTATTATTATTATCTAAATGTAACAACTAATTAGGAAGACGTAAAAATGCTTATTTACACCTCATGTTTTTAATTAAAAAAATTAATATGAATATAATCTAAATATACCTTAGCTTTGTTTAGCTAAAAAGTTTATAAAATCTAAGTGAATGGCAGTTGGTAATTTCAACCACATATTTTATTAAAATCACAACTTTTATCAACTTTCTATTTACATATTTCATCAACTTTTATTATAATCTACCAAAAATCTGATTTTTACCTAAACAAAATAGCCATCCGGATAAGGTAAAACAATATTTTACTGATTTTTTGTACTAAAACTGCATATTTATAGTAATGCATTTCTCAGTTGTTTCTATATATTTTTTGTTGACCTCGATTTTCGGTTGGAAAGTATGGCCAACATATTCCTACTCCATTCCATTCCATGTTTAAGGCTCTTGTATATTTAGATAAATCGTTAAATTGCACATGGCATTCTCTGGTGTTGGGAGAAATAGCCACCAACACTTCGATACTCAGGCTAGTTAAATCAAATATTTGAGTGTGGGATAAACTGTGAACGAGAGCCAAAGTTACTATTGAGAGTGTAAAACTACATTATTTGTGAATGATACCAAATGTGAGCTTTTAGAGATTACGATTAGATAAATGATAAGTGACCCCATCTTAATGGCTTACGAGTCATCTTCACAGATGTCATATCTATTGTCCTATACTGATACATCATTACATGATCCTCAAAAGTGACCACTCTATGTCTTTGGCATAAACTGAAAAATTGATTGAGAGATGTCTACTGTAGAGATGTCAAATCAATTAGACGTACGAAAGATCTCGTGGACGAAGCAATGCTATGGAAGATGTTTTGTGGAACAAAATATCGTCGCTTCGAAAGTGTACTGTGGCAGTCTGTAGGACCGGGCATCGAACAAGAAGGTTTGGTTTCTACATGTCACTTCTATCGAGGTGCTTCATTGACTTCGACTTTCTTTGTAGACGGTCTCTGTTATTCCACGTAAGTGAAGTGATTGGAATGCGGTTTCTTAGTTGGCTATCACATGGCCTGCCTCGTGTACTTAGGCATAACATAGCTGTCGTTTGGCTATCGAGCAAATAATATTATCTATTTTATCAGCTTTAACATGATAAATTTAGATGGGTAATTCTATGGTACCAATCAAACCCTTATTATTTAGAAACTTCAATAACAAAAAATGTTAAATTTAACGATCTTATTATAATATCACACCTAATGCACGTGTTGTTAACTAGTAAATATAATAATTTAATAGAATTTTTGCTCAACATTTCAAAGCACACTAATGGAATCTTTGAATACAAACTACAATCATACTACGTGTACATCTTATTTTACACATTTTTTACACTGTACCACGTGTCTTCACATGATTTGATTGTTTTAAAAAAAGACATTTTTCCGTCCAACACTTTTTGAATTCTCACATAATGTCTGAAAATGTGTAGAACATGAAATGTACACTTGCCATAATTCTACGAACCATCATCACATAAGATTGAGTTATGTGATCTTTTTCAACGATTCTTGTGATCGATGTGACTTAATTGATTTTCAAGTTTTCTTTATTGATTTCCACGAGTCACGGGATTAATACTTCATATTGCCATTGAGTTGTGTTCACTTCCTCTTTCTATTTGTGGGTACATCTTTATTAACGACCTTATCATCTTAAAATTAATCAAAACAAGGCCCAACCGTCTAAAGATTTTTTGAATGAAATTTCATAAGAATTCTACAGACCTGTCATTAGGTTAGTACATCAATCTAAGAAAATTAACTTGAAAAGTTTCTTCTGAGTACAAGTTATATCAAGCCTTAATAAATAAATCCACCATTTCCATTTATAATTCCTACACAATTTTCTTCTTTGATAGTCCACATGCATGCTAAGTTCATCTCTTTAGGCTCTACTGCACACTAATGATTTAGCATCATGCAATCTCTGTTTATTCACTCTTGCAATAAAAGCCTCCGCTCTTCTTTTCAATTCGTCGGTAGGTATATAATTCTCCTCTTCTTTCTCTCTTTTTTCCCTTTACACGATCCCACTGCGAATTTTCACTTCTTT